CGTGCGTGCGTGCGAGCGAGCGGGAGCGGCTCGTCGGAAACCGAGGCTTTCCGCCAGATCCGTCGGGGGAAAAAAGACAGGAGAGGACTTTTCAAAAGGTCAAGGGAAGATCCCACGCTTAAAATGGCACAAACGCGTGCGGATTGTGGCGAGGGATTTGCGCAGATGACCCAAGGAACTCGTTGGCGCTTTTTTTCCCCCTCGGAGCAAGAGCTCTGCGACTTTCTCTCCCCAAAGTTTGCTCGGGGCGCCTGAGAAAGCCCCGTTTCCACCGTGCCCCGTTGCGTTCCCACCGACGACGTGACCTCTTTGCAAGCAGCGGGAGGACGTGACTCCGTCCTTGTCAGGATACTTGCTCTCAACTGATGTTCTGAGCTTTTATGTTGCCGAGAAGCATGTGAAAACAGCTTTCGATGCTGCTGCTGTTTCTCGACTCAACCTTGGCGACGCGGAGGCAAATACGCAGGCGGCCTTGGCTTGTCCAAGTCAGTCGAACTCGGGAAGAGCGACGGCAAGGATGACACAGCTTGGAACGGTTTGCCAGCGCACCGTTTCCAGACAGCCGAGTCTGTTCCATCACCTCAGTCGGGCCCGTCCTGTTTTGTTCTCACGTTACATCATGTGCACTCGTAATGATCAAAGTGAGTGTGTTGATGGAAAAACAAAGAAACCCTTGTTGGCAAGCGCACCAATGAGATGTTTCTTGCGCAGGAATTGCTCGAAATCCTTTGAGCTCCTTGGAAAACGAAATCCACGCAAGTCAATCGACGCTTCGCAGGTTTGCCTCCGAGTCGAGATTCACCTGCCTCGTTCCAACACAATATCAATCCTCAGACCTCGTTTCGACTGCTGGGGGCGCAAGGGAACATATTGTTGCAAAGCACGTTTTGGACTTGAAGGGGGGGGGGGGGCCTTCTTTCCACTTTCGGGCGACCTCACGGCTGCGGCAAGGTTGCGTTTCGCGCTTTTCGAGCTCGCTCTTTTGCCCGCGTGAGCAAAGCAGCAAGTCACGCTCGCTTTCTGTCACCAACCAGAAGCAACTTTGAAGACTTTCCAAAACAAGCATGCCGGAGCTGTCGTGGGCATCTCTCGGTCGGGCGGGCCGGACCTCAGGAGTTTCCGGACCTTTGGATCTTAGTTGTTGATTTCACCACCCAAATATACTCCCGTCCCCATTTGTCAACGTCGGCAGACAACTTTGGCGCTTCGGTCGGAAATCGAAGAGTGTGAGATGGGCGTCATGGGAATTTGACATATACAGTATGACACTGCTAAAACGGAAGGAACCGTTCGTACCATCGAACGCCGAGCAGTTATTTTGCAGGTCGGCAAAGTTGGCCGCTCAGGCGCTCGACTGCATTCTGTGCAGGGAAAAAAAATGCCGAGTGACTCATTCTGAAATATACAAAATGGAGTTGAAGATTTGGTGGACACCACGCAAGTAAAAATGAGCTGCGTTCCTGTTCAAACAGCCCCCGGAATCAGTCGAGGGCCCGCAGCTGGAATTCAGACGCTTGACCTCATGATTAAAAAAAAAAAAAAAAAAACACAACTGCAACACCTTGATTCAATAGAGAAATGGACTTTTTATTTGCTGGTACAGTGAACCCTTGCGTGGTACGAGATGATTTTTGGGGGGAGCCCGTACTCCGTTACCGGCTGAAAAATCTCGCCCAGCGTTGTCTTTGGGAACATTGAAAAACAATGACCTGAAATATGAAGCGCAAATAACCACAAGTACAAGAACTACTCGGCAACAAATGAAAATTACGTTTGCAAATTTATTCAAGTAAGCCTTACTCTTATGTCAATAAAATATACATGTGTTCTCTCTCTCCCTCTCTCTCTCTATATATATATTAAATATATATAATACACACACACACACACACGTTCAGTTGTATTGTTTGGCATTTTGACTCTGCATGACCCAAATTGTGATCTTCGTTGTACCGTTTGGCGCTCTCTCCCGTCTTTGTTTGTGCGCAGCGATGGCTGTTTGAAAGTGCTCGAGAAATCCATTTGATTTGAGTTGAATTGGAGATGAAGCTGCCTTCCTTCGGCCGATCCAAAGTCCAGTAGCGTATAATGTTGGGGACCCATTTTGACAGCTTTCTCCTGTGTTTTTATTTGACGGGGACGTAACCCCCACCAAGAGGAAAAGCGCCCCATCAAGAAAGAAACGTCCCACTTTGGAGGGAGCGTCATCGCCGTCGTGTTCAAGTACTTCCGCTTTCTCGGTGACGTCCTTTCCGGTCGAAACTACCAACATGGACGCCAGCCGCGTGCAGCCGATCAAGATCGCAAGAGTAAGAAAAGCTGCAATTCGGCGCGCTTTTTCCATCTGGCGTCTATGTAGCTCCGAATTGTGACCTTATTTCACACAACCAATGGAAAATGTTGGCGTTAAACGACGCAGTTGGAGCGGATTAGTCAACGGTTTCTCTCGACCCGCCGTTCCGTTGCGAAGGCCCGCCGCTCCCAGTGCTAACGCGGAAAGCTAAGCTAAGCTAAGCTCAGCTCAGCGTACGAATCTTTTAAAACGTCGTCGTTGACGCGCGATTTCCGGCTTTGTCATTTTCGACACCGTTTGGCAAGTACGCTCCGCGAATAAAGCCTTTGTTTTGAAACTTTCAGGTGACCAGGGTGCTTGGAAGAACCGGCTCCCAGGGACAATGCACACAGGTAGGCTTGCGAACTGTTAGCAGGAAAGGCGAGCGTGTCGCTTCAACCCTTTGACGGACGACGTTTTTTTTTCCCAACCTCGTTTGGCGTCGAATTCACAAATGTCAGGAGACGTCCTCACACGAGGACCAAATATCGCCGCGCCTTTTTTGCTGTCGAGTTGAATTGCTCACTCGAGCTCACCTTGCTTCAAAACGGTGGTAAGATTTGAAAAGATGGACCTTCGAGCACAGGATGGAAAATTGGAGGCCTTCTACCAAGAAATGAAATTTGAAAGGATTTTTGCTGAACTGTATAGCTCTTTTTTTTTTTTTTTTGCTAACTACGTGACTTAGTTTCATGTATCGAGCCTCAACATTGTAGCGGGTTTGGTCATAGCGGAGCCCGGTCTTCAACTAGCAATCATTTTACACATTGCATTTAGCCTTTTTTGTCCTTTATAAAGCTCATCTCCAAAACAAACTCTCATGCGTTAAGAAAAATGTGGCCTTTGAGCAAAAAGTTCCTCCAACACCGGATAACATTTTTATATATCGAACTGCTACGACATGTTCGGAGCGGACGGTTCTTTTTCAGGGTTTGTTTACCCCCTTTCATTGAACCGAGGCACAAATCGTGCCCGTCGCTGTATGTCGGCAGCATAGATAATTGAACGGGGAGATTTGTCGTTGTCGGGAATTACTTTGAGACCAATTAAAAGAAATGGTATCATTTCCTCGGGCATAGATGACGAGCCCTGGTAAGAAGTTCCTCCTCCCAAAGTAAAACTTGAAGAATGAATGTGCGGCGTCTTCCTCGTAGGTCCGCGTCGAGTTCATGGACGACAGCAACCGTTCGATCATCAGGAACGTGAAGGGCCCGGTCAGGGAAGGAGACGTGCTGACGCTTCTGGAGTCCGAAAGAGAAGCCAGGAGGCTGCGATAGGTGAGCTCGCCGCAGCGTATGCGGGCAAAAGCCTCGGAGCGTTAAGCGCGGCCGCTGCTGTTTCTCCAGGCTCGCTCACAGATGCGCCGGCGGTATATCGAATGCGGGCGTCGCAAATGGCAGCTGATGTTCTGACCGCTCTCTTTCATCCTCCCCCCGCAGAGCCCGCTCAAATCGCGGCGCCGAGTGGACGCTGCGGAGCAGACGGCTCTTCTGTCTGATTTCGCACGCCATGGATGACGTCTGGCTCGTGAAAGGCTTTTTCAAATAAATATGCTCACTGAAAGAATACATTTGCACACTTTTTTGGGTCGGGGGGGGGGCACTTTGTGCTTTTTCACTGCTTGGCTCTGCTCACTCGAGAAGTTGAGCCTTATACAGTTAGACACGGCAGCCTATTCAAAGTTCCAAAGAGAATGTCCTTACTTAGTTGTAAATATGTGAGCTTTTGGAATCCTCAAAATGCGTGGCCGAAATTATCAAAAGAAATCTGTGGCGACGGTGAGCAATTTGGCGAGTGCGGTCAAACCTGGGCCAGCGCGAAACGCAACTCGGCGCTGCCACTGATCAACCCTTTTCGGCGCAAGTATAAACGGATGGCTTGCCGCCATGCTTGCTTTGAGCAAGCTGCGCAGAACACGCAGACGCCGCTTCATCATTTTCCTCACTCCATGAATAATCGTATTTAGACGCTCATTTCAATTGTATACTTGCAACTTGTTTGGGGGGTGCGTAGAACTTAACCATCGATACACGAAAGCCATTTGCTTTTGAACCTTGAGAAACCTCAAGCGCTCTGTGGTGCGTAACTTGCGCGATAAGGTGTGGAAAAGCCCCCGAGAAGCGGGCTTCGTCCGAGGCGCTTGAAATGGCGGCCGGCGTCTTCTGACACCCGTCCTACGTAAGTCGCTCTTCTCTTCGCTCAGTCTTATTCACGTTGCGATGGGCATCGGGAGTGCATTCTAATGGACTTTAAAGGAGAGGATCATTTTTCTTTCTTTTAGAAATAAACGGGACAAGGTCATATTAACGCTGGTCTTTGAGAAACTAGTTATTGAGCCCGATGGTTTGCCTTGACCACGAGTCCAGACTTGGTGGGTTCACAGCTTGGTTGTCTCCAAGCCTTAAATCGCAACGCTAATCCCCGGGGGCCAAGAGTATTTTTAACTTGGCGTTTGGACAGAAAGAGCAGCAATCGGATTAGCCAATCAGCCAAGCGACTCTGATGTCCCGACTTGGTGCGGCCCATCTTCTTGCACGCCGGAGCTTTTTCCACCTGTAAGCAGCTCCCGCCGCGGAGGACGACCTCGGCTTCAAATGGCCATTCTCCGCAACGTCGTCGTCGCGGTCGCCCGCCGACTCCGTCGCTAGACTTCGGGTTCGTCGGGCGCCGTGAGCGGCCGCCGCCATGGAGGCTCTAAAGCCCAAGCTGAAAGTGCTGAAGAAGCGGCGCTCCAGCCTTTTTGCCACCGTCAAACGGGAAAAGAGCTTCTCGCAAAGCATCGAGGAGCAAGAGAGCGAATTCCCTTTTTCTCAGGACAGTTCGGTCAAGCTCTGGACGTCCATGGACAACCTGGACGCCGCGGACGGTCAGGAAGCGCGCAGCAAAGACCCCTCGCCACTGAGGAAGGCAAACATCGTCAACCTGAACGTGGGCGGCAAGGTGTTCCACATCCCCAAACATCTGGTCCTGCGACATCCCAAAACCAGGATCGGGATCCTGGCCCTGTGCGAGGATCCGGCCAAGCGTCTGGCGCTCTGCGACGACTACAACGTTCTGAACAACGAGTTCTTCTTCGACAGGGACCCCACGTTCTTCCACTACATCTTCCACTACTACTGCAGCAACGTCTTGTGGGTGATGGACAGCCTGTGCCCCGTCAACTTTGAGGAAGAGATGGCCTTTTGGGGGATGAAACTCAAGGACACCCCGAGGTGCGGCCTTCGTTACCTTCCCGCTGAGCGCGAACCCCTCCGGGTCAGATTTGCGACGGCAACGACGACAGCCGTCCGCGCCTTTCCCGTACGGCTCTATCCTCGCTGGGATCGCCGCGTGCCAGACCCCCCTCGGACTGGTCGCCAACCAACCGCGAGGCGGACGAACACTCACTGGCGCTCACGTTCGACCGAAAGGATCGTTGACGTCAGGGGTGCCCCATTGTGGCCCTCGAGAGCCCCCGTCCGGCCTGTTTCAGACGTTTCTCTCTTTTCTGACAAACCCGATTCAAATTCAGTGCCGATCCTTTGAATCGAGCGCGTTGGAGGAGGGAGACGTGCAGGACGGGCTGAATCGGGGTTCTCCAGGAGCGCACCCCATTTTGGGTCTGATTTTGCGTCTCCAATTGCGGCAAGGGTAACAACGTGCCTGGCGGCCCTCTTGTTCATTGTTCCCATTAAAAGCGTCCAGAGAAGCGCACGTGTTCTCAGCGCATCTGGCGCAGCTCCTGGTCTTTGACCCGTCGTGGGGGGGGCGGTAAGAGTGCACGTCATGTCTGTGAGTGTTCCTCAAGGACTGTGAGGACAGCGTTCAAATGGGAGAGCTCGAAACAGTCTGTGTCTCCACCACGTATGTCCGGGTTCCCTTAGGAGGTCTTCGAAGGGGGGGCAATCTTGAAACAGTAAAAGAGGCCAGGTCACGTCTGGAAGGGGAGGCATCTCGCTCACATCTTCTCCCTCTCCTCAGGTGCTGCCGTATTCTGTTTGAGGAGAAGGTGGACGACATAAGAGACCAGCTGAAGGTCAACCGGGAGCTGATCGACGAGATCAAGCCTCACCAGGACGACGAGGGCTACAAGACCATGTTCCTGGGCAACCTTCGGAAGATCCTCTGGGACCTGATGGAGAACCCGTACTCGTCCATGTCGGCCAAAGCCTTCGCTGTCTTTTCCAGTCTCTTTGTGCTCATCTCCATCGTTTCCATGACGATGAACACGGTGGAAGAACTCCGCCGATACAAAGTGGCCGGCAAAACCTACATGGAGTGGGTGGAGATCGCCTCCATTCTCTTCTTCACCTTGGAGTACTTCCTGCGCTTGCTCACCACATCCGACGTCAAGCACTTTGTCAAGAGCGCGCTCAACTTTGTCGACATCGTGGCCGTCATGCCCTACTTCGTCCAGATCATGTTTGAGACCTTTGTGATCGATTCGGAGGACGTGAGCGCGCAGGAAGATTTGAAGGCCATGGCGAGGGTCAGCAAAGTCAGCAAGGTGCTCAAAGTTATTAAGCTGATGCGCATCTTCCGGATCCTCAAGTTGGCGCGTCACTCCACTGGCATGAGGGCCTTTGGCTTCACCATCCGTCAGTGTTCCGAGCAGGTGGGAACGTCCGACAAACGCGCCCCGGCTGGGATTCGCCATCAATCGCCGCCGCGGGAAACGATCTCGTTTCGTTCGGCGGTAGCTACTCGCCGCCGAGACCGGACGTATCGCGACGGGCCGAACGATGAAACGTCTCGGGATGGCGCGTGACGGAGGGTAGAATTCATCTGAGCGCCGTTCGGACAGCGGAACGGCAGCTTTGCGTTGAACTCAACGGGCCCGGATTTCCAGTCCGGTTGTGTGGAAATGAAGTTGACGTCGTCGTCGTTTCGCTTTCGAGACTTTTTGGGGCCTTTTAGGTGGCGTGCTGCGTGATATTGTAAAAGTTGGAAAACATCGCTTTGGAGAGGGGACGTAGATGTGGTCCTGGAGACGTTGTTATCGATCGAAAGGTATGAAGGCGAACATAGAAAATGGTCATTTTTCATCAGCGGAACTTTTTTTTTTTTTTTTGACATGCGTGCAGACATTTTTCTCTATAGCTTTCTCTCTAAATCTGGGTTGGCGAGCACCTCTCCCATGCCGAGATAATCCGTCCTCCTCTCAGTCGTGGCTTATCGAGACGCCGAATATTTCGACAGCAGCTTAGGCGGCACGTCATCAAAAGGACGCTCGAAAATGTGCAGGGCTATTTTTATGCTTTCACCAGAACAAAAGTCAGATCGGAGCCTTAAAAGCCACCTGAAAATATGAAGAGCTCCTTCATTTCCAAAACAAAATCAATGCCAAATTAAAAACATTCTTGCCATGCATTTTACAGTGTCCAACTCTATTATTGTTTGTGGAACATGTTAAGATTGAACCAATGAAACGTTTTAAGAATAATAGAATAAGAAAGCCTTTATTCGAATTCGGAGAAATTCCCACTTTGCAGCAGCAAAGTTATGAAAGGAAGAAAGTCGAAGAACAAAATGTCTAGGAGCTGCTGTAAAGGCGGAGGATAAAATCAATGTATGTAAAACTGTCAAATCAACAATGATTTCTTTGGAGAAAAACAAAAACAAACCCCAACAACACAAGGGTGACCGTGACCATTGTGTTGTGATCTTTCAGGTGTGTTGTCTGTTTCTCTTCATCGCCATGGGCATCTTCACCTTCTCAGCTCTGATGCATTCGGTGGAGGTGGACCAGCCCGGAACGCCGTTCAGCAGCATCCCGGACGCCTGGTGGTGGGCGGCGGTGAGGAGCGCTCGCTGACCTGATGTTTGAAGGGATTTACGACTCATTCCTAAATAGATCATCAACCTTTGATGATAATAATAATAATAAGAATAATAAATCCTTATGACAAAATTATCGTGATTATCATTGTTGTTTATTATTATTATAAATAGCACAATCGACTAGAGGTGCAACGATTCATCGACAGCTTGTCGATGATCAACTAATCCATCATATTCGATAATTGATGAGTCGTATAATATCCTTTTTGATTTACAATTTTCAAAACGTTGGGAATTTATCAATCAATATTATCCGATTTCTGTCGTCCTCCACGAAAGAGGACTGATTATCTTGGCAACGAATCAAAATAAAACAATTGTTTTTACTGTGGGCAATTATCAATGAACATTGTTTGCCTATTTTCGGACATGTCGCAAACCAAAATAGGAAGTGAATTATCATTAATTTCTGTTTGTGAATTCTATGCACTATCAATTTTAAATTATGTCATATTTTTGAATAACGGGATGGAAATTTAAACTTGTTTTTGAAAAACATCTGATTATTCGACATAAGTGACCGATCAATCAATGATTAAGATAACTGCGGTCAACAGCAAATTTTAATCAAAAAGGCTTTCAGGTAAAAAAAAAAAAATCCACTCCTTATCGAACCTAACCTTTAATAAATATTCAGAAAAATTTTATATATATGTATATTTGAATTTTTTTCCATTTTGTAGAATTGTAAGTTTTGTCCTCCCTGTCTAGGTGAGCATCTCCACCGTAGGCTACGGAGACGTGGTCCCCATCTCCTATCTGGGGCGCTGCGTGGCCTTCGGCTGCATTTCCTTTGGCATCATCCTCAACGGCATGCCCATCTCCATTCTTTTCAACAAATTTTCCGACTACTACGCCAAACTGAAGGAGCAAGAATACACGTTTTCAAACACCGAGCGCACGTTCCAGCTGAGGAGACGTCTGCAGAACAAGTGTAACAGCTGCTTGCAACCCCAGGCTGAGGACTCCGACGATGAGCTCCACTATAGGCCCAGTGGAAGGCAGACTACTTTTGAGGGGGAAGAGTAAAAAAAAAAAAAAAATAAGAAGAATAATCACAAAACAGCCAGAGTGCAACCTCGCTAACCTGAAATGGCCTTAAATGCTTGCCACTCAAGTAGAAGGATGCATTGTGAACAATACAAAGGCAGTGACGACAATGACCAGACAATACTGGTGCGATGATGGCTTACAAAATGACAAAGATGTTCAAATGTGTATTGTTGTAAATAATAATGGTGATATAAAGAGGGAAGGTTAACTTAACTTGCTGACTTTCTTCGGCCAAAATACACAAAGCATAAAGTTTGGTTTTTTTGGGTTGGGGTTAGTAAAGTCATTGGAAAAAACGGATATTCAAGAAAAGTAGGGAGACCCGAAAAATCGTCCAGAACTCCGTTACTCTACCCCACTTTTGACTTGACGGTCAGAAGATTCTTTCTCATAGTTTAATATTGTGCGTTGAGATGAATATGTGTGACAATGACACTGCGTCACATTTGTGTCATTGACATTCTACTTTCCAAAAGTGGGAGTGGAAGAGCAGCCGGGGTGTCTGTGTGTCAGCAAGTCAAGTCTAACAGTGTCATTTTTCTTGTCAAGGATTACTGGGATTTGCACTTGTGCCTCCTTCCTGGCCAGACAAGGATAAAGCATAATCATGACCTGCGCTATCCTGCTAGCGCACGTACAGTGTTCGATCAAATGTCCACCATGCTGTTTTGTAGAGGTATTTGTTGTTGTTGTTGTTGTTGTTGCGACTGCCGCTGTAGAGGCCCAAAAGTGAGTTGGGCCAACACCTGCGTAGTGCTGTGTAACCTCCTCCCATAAATTCATAAAGCCATTTAAGCCAAAGAACACAGTGTCATTGAGTATCATATTGGCTGCTCACGAGGACAACGGCAAGACAGTTTCCCATTTAAGGACAGCTCACAAATAGGAGTACTAAAAGTGTCATGATCTGTGTTTTTGTTGTTTCAATCCCCGCCTTTTTGCAGCAACAAAAACAATGATGGCGTGGGAGAAAAAAAATCTGTGGCGTCATACCACTAACTGTTGGATGATTTAGGTGTTTATTTCTTCATTCTTCCATCTATCAACTCGTTTCGTCAATTATCTCAATAAAAAAATCAGAGGCCCACATTTGGGAGTCTGAGCAGATGTCAAAACAATGATGGCGTGGGAAAGAATTCTGTTCTGTCAGCTGTCACACACACACACACAAGCTTACCAATCTCCAAAGGCAGGGATGCGGCTCCCTCCGGTGGGCACGCCGCGCCATTGCAACGCTCCAATCCATTTGGATCGAGGATTCGCTTTGTGCTACGTGGCTAATGAATGGCTATGTCACGTCATTAATGGTGTTGCTTTGATGTGTTTAAATGTGAAGAAAATGTCACAAAGTTGGCGTACTTCGACATGAACTTTGTACTGGATGAAAGAGTTCATCAAAGCACCCGGAACTGCCTGGGTCGGCTGTTGTTGCCGGGCCCCCCCTTTTAGCTTCTTCCGGTCGGAGCTGTCAAGTTCAACTCATCTTTCTGCGCGTTCTCCGCAGGTTTCAGGTGAAGTCAAAAGTAAGTTTTGTTTTTGTCTCTTCTACTATTTAAATGCGTTTTTATGGTTTCGGTCTGGATTTCTGTGCCACACGGGCTCTTCCGTTCTGGGCTGTGATGCGATGCGGTGCGGTGTTTAAACGCAAGCCAGAGTGGAATTCGGCCGCGCCCTGGTTGCGTTTAGCCAATTGGGCTAACGGCTAACATGGATGGATGAGCACTTGGCTTCTCGGCACGTTCTGTGCCGTTTTCAGGGGACTTAAAACGTAAGCATCTCTTATTTCATCTGCGTGTTTTCTTTATTTTTCCTTTTGAAATGCGTTTTGACTGGTTCAGTCTGGATTTCTGGGCCGCGATGAGGTGCGCTCGTCAAACGTGAGGCCGAGTCGAATTCGGGCGCGCCCTGGTTGCATTTAGCCATTGAGCTAACGGCTAACGCGGAAGGTTGAGCACGTGATGGAGAGCGCAGAACGGTTACTGGCTTGTCATTGGCGCCTTCTCCGGGTTTTCAGGGGACGTCAAACGTAAGCATCTCTCATCCGCTTGTTTTTGTATCTCTTGACTTTTTAAATGCGTTTTCGCTGGTTCAATCTGGATTTCTGTGCTATGCGGACTCTGTTCTGGGGTGACCTCATCAAACGTAAGGCCGAGTGTAATTAGTGTTTGCCCTGGTTGTTTAACTCATTGAATCCCACCCCTGGAGCAACCCCCTCAATCCCTCACATACATTTTGACTGCTTTGCAAGGCCCACAGAATTTTCTGTTCTACGGCTATATAAACATGCCACCTATCAGAAGAAAGGCCAGACTCTCTTCTTTCGGCAGAAAAAAAAAGTTTGTTTCTATCTTTCTCCGTTCGTTGGCAATCAGCATTAGAAAAGTGCTGTATTATGGAGAAGGCCGATTTTCTCCAGAAATCCAGAGAAAATGAGCTTTTTGTAAAAGCATGCGTTTCAAGTTTGACACTACTTTTTGCTTTTCTGACAGCTCAAATACCTCAATAATGTGTTCCTCCTACAAAAAAAAACAACATTACAAAACACGTTTTTATAGCAAAATAATTTATTTGCACATAACAAAACTATTGAACTATGAACTGGAGGAGCTCGTCTGTTATGAACAGCTGGAGGAAGTCAGCTGGCTCCCCGGACTCCAGTTGTGCAGCAGCATCCAAAGGCCCAGGGGTCGCTGTGAAGGGGATGGTTTTTGGCTTCCGTCCAGTTTGTCGCCACATCGATTCATCCCCACCACGTCCAGATGCACGACCTATAAATTATAGAAATATTAACAGTTGCAAACGTTAGATATTTATTGTCGCAATGTCAAGTGAAGTTGAATTTTTATTGACTTCTTTGCACCGACAACATGAGCGGGGGCTGTTAGGCTGCTAGGTCCATGACCTGTAAATTACAAAAACAAAACGTTGCAAATATATATTGCTGCAGAGTGAGGTGCAATACTTTTATTTACCTTTCTTTCCACCACCAAAGCAAGGAGTCGTCGTCTTTTGGCTTCTGGTTGGACAAGCTGTAATTTATAAAAGTACGTACAATTACCACACTTTTCTTTCTTTTTTTTTTTTTTTTTTATTGTTGCCATACACTTACATTTCCCCATCTCTCACACACGCATACATGCTCGCACACTGCTATTTACACCATTCCGGGTTGAGAGGACGCGGGCGTGTATGTCGCCGCTTCTCACTCCGAGCTCTACTAAAACTCTGATCTTCCCTCTGATTTTTCTTTTGCCCTTCTGTTTTGGACTGTGGGTACTGTGATTGATGCAATTTGAATCATCACTTCATCCGATCAATCAAACCCCATCGTAAGCAGCTTATGCTAACCAGCTGTCACCACACCGGCTTTCCTCCCTCGACATGGGGCGCGAAAACCTCCTTGCCGCCTTTGGTTTACTTTGGATACTCCTGACGTTCCGCCATCATCCAGTGGCAGCACTGCTCCACTATTCTGTCGCGGATCTTCTCCGGATCCGGTGGATTGCACCGGGGCCTCCGCCACCGGAGCCGCACCATCATCCGGACACCGCTCGGCTGCCTCGATGTCGCTACATTCACCGCGGGTCGCGCAGACATGTCGAGTACAAAAATCCCGGCTCAATCAACTCGACCCGGTCCACTTCTCGACGCCCTCCCAGAAACTCCGGCCCAACATCAACCATCATGCATTAGCCCGCCTGGCTAGGTCGGCTAACAGCACTGCCGCCGTCAAACACGACACCTCCGCCGTCAACTTTGGTCTGCTGAACATCCGCTCACTCACGAGCAAAGGACACCTGATAGAGAAATCTATGAACAAAATTGTATCATGTTTAAAGTTTCGGTTAATTTGGGCATGTCTGGACATACTCAGCGCAGAGGTGTCGGCCGTTTGGGCGGAGGGCCTTTTCTTGAGTAATCACGTCAAAGCAAGGGGGGCGAACAGATGGAAGAAGGCTAGAATCAATCACAGAGTGGGAATAAACAAATTGGGAACAAAGAGTTGTTGAATACCAGTTTGGGAACAATCGTCGCGCCTAGGTGGACATTTGTCATCAGCAAAGTCTGTGACTTGTGTATTCGGGTAGATCAGATCACTACCGAGGGGCCGGACCGGGGGGCGCGGTATGCAAATCTCGGGGGCAGTGTCTTTCTTGTATTTTGCACAAAAAGTTCGAACTGGCGGAGAGGGAGCCGAGTGTGTGATCATCGGAGCAACTACCGTCGTTCGCTCTCAGAGATCCGCTCCCGCCGATATTGAAGACAATTTTCCTGTGTGCCGAGTCATTTCTTTAACTTTGTCCGAGAAAATCTCTGACA